CCCCAAAACCCCAAAACCCCAAAACCCCGTAAGATAAATTGGAATAAATTATCGATTATATCATAAAATTATAATTTCCAACAATGTCCAATAAGTCTGACACTTCTATGTAAGAATCGTAAAGAGTTGAGGATTTTAAATGTATTTATAGCCATGATGGAGAAGAGGAAAATAAACAGTTGTCTCATAAAATTTAAAATATGCAATCTAGTCCAAGGTTAAGATTTAACTCAGCTGCTGTTAATTAAGCTCTTCGGTAGAAATCTCATTCTGCATATGAACAAACTCCTTGGGAGTTTAGATTCCATTCTTCTGGAGGAAAGCACCTGTCCAGTTAACATAATCAGTAGGCATAGGCTGATAATGATGAAGTGCAGAACATATCATTTTCTGAGAATATAGATGAGTCGCCAATGAAAATGGATGAACATATGTGCCTTTGACAGCCTGATAACACCAGCAGTAATAACAACAACGAATAAGTGGAGTTTACTGAGGAAAACAATTTCAAGATTTATGAATTTCCCTACAATGAAAATAATGCAAAATCAGTCATAAGTTCTACAGATAGAAAAGGCCCCAATTCATATCAGCAATCTTAATTCATGACATAATCTCACCCTGGAGAAAAGTGCTAAGTTAATGTTGATAGTATTTAACTGGATAGAATGCAGATGACTAAAGGATTTAATACTCAAAATGCAAAGAAAAATATATAAGATGAGATGATCGATGACGATGAGAATCTATTTGAGATTGAAATTAAGAATCTTGATACAAATGAGATCTATAAAATGCAGGTGCCTGTTTCTTAAAGCAATGATAATACTCCAAAGCAAGCTGTATAGAATGTTGGAATCCCTATCGCAAAAATAGACTTAAATTATGCTTCAAAGCGGAAAACTGCTGGGAACTTGGGGCCTATCGGAGCTAGTGGAATTGCTGCTGTAAGTAACTTTATTCTAAATTTTAATCATTTGAAAAGTGAAGTAATAGGAGAATATCTTAAAGGAGAATATTAATGGTTTAGTGAACAATTCTGCTGTTGTTGAAGATAGCAGTAATGGCAAAGTGATACACCAGACTTAGATCACACTGTTGCAGCATTCGCAAGTTGCAGAGAAAAAAATATCTAATAGGAAAATAAATCTTTACGCCTCAAGTTTTTAATAATAACCTAGTGATAAGAGAATGATTTAATCGGCTAGTCATAAGGTCCTGATTCAAAACTTTGAATGCTAAGGTGATGAATAGAAAATAGTAAAACAGTTGATTGAATTTAAAATTCAATAACAAACTAATTCTCTAGACAAAACATCGTTATTAATCCATAGACAATGCAGGTAAGAACTATAAGTTTCTTAATAATTGAATTAGTGAAAGAAGTCCTGATCATTAATCCATCTCAACTGTTGATGTTACCCAAATATTAGATGAGAGAAATTAAAAGCTTTTGAAAGAGATATATTCTGTACCCCAGCAAAAATACTCTCAAGAGTACGAAGAATATCTTCCATAATTTGAAGAAAATATTAAATTATATGATGATTCCACTTATGCACTTAACTTTGATGACTACGAGGAGTTCTATGATACGTTTTAAGATTAAATAAATGTCAAGAGTCATCTACTTAGCAATTTTATGGCACTTTAATCGATATAAGTAAGTATAGCTACAAAATTATTACAGCAAAATGATCTTACTACATTTATTAAATGATACCTTAAATTGACTGTTTTATGTAGAATAGAGAAATGAAAGCTTATAGTGATAGTTTAAATGACAGTGCATGGTTAATTAAGAATAGTATTAATAAGCATCTAGGAGTGGAAGTTTTAAAGAATGAGGATAAACATCGAATAAAAGAAAAGTTTGATAAAGCAGCGCTTTAATTAGCACCAAATAATATCAAGACTGAATTAGAGGCTAAATACGCTTTAGAATCATAGAAGAAACCAACGTTCAAAGATAATCTTATTGGGTCAGTTGATTTTATGGGTATTTATCTGGTTAAGCTTTAAGATCATCATGTTTAGTTAGATGAAAGAAGTTTCTTTTCAAAAATGATGTGGAGCGATCCATAAAAGATCGAGAAAGAAGCAAAAATTGAAGCTTTCAGTAAGATTATACATTTCTTCATAAATAACTTTAGAAATTATATCAGACATAGTGTAGATTGAATGGACCAAGTATCAAATATGGGGAGTTTATTGTGACATAATTGGAAAGATTCTTAATGTAGAAAACTACAATTAGGAGGAAAAGACTATAAGAGAGTATATTTACTCTGAAAGTCTCTTTGGTTGGTTTAATCCGCTCATTGTAGATATCTGAATTATAAGAAGCCTAGCTGTATGAGATATTAAGGTTAGAATGAATAATATAATTTACTAATCTACTTACTTATATATACATTCAAAATATAACCTAAATGGCTAAACTCTTTTCAATTAATTAATGCACATTAGTAAATTTTAAATAGTTAAAATGATTATAAACCTTAACTAATTAATCTCAAATATAATTAATCTTTGCATCAACTACACATCAATTCAGTTGATAGACATTATAATTAATTTATTCTACAGCCAAATAAACTTATTAATGCACTCATCATCATTTTTAAAGATCTTTCTTCATCATTTCGAGGAATTCAGAGTAGTCTATCTAGTTGTCTCTATTGATGTCAGCTTCTTACATCAATTTTTCTATTTCATAGTCAGGGATGCCTATACCTCCAGCTCCTAAGACTAATTTAAGCTCATCGATTGTAATAGCCCCACTGCCATCCTAAAGTATCAATTTAGAGATGTGATAAATAGGACTGAATACTTACCTTGTCAAAATATGAAAATGCTATTCTCAAATAATCTTCCTTCAGATATATTTTAGATTTCATGCAGCCAGCTAAAAATTCTGTATAATCTACAAATCCATTGAAATTTGTATCTAATTTGTTCATAAGATCCCAAGTCTCCTCTGGAGTATAGTTAATACCATAGTTAATCAGTGCCTAGACGAATTCATCTAAGGTGATACGTCCATCACCATTGGAATCAACCTAAATAAACAACTTTCTAAGTTCCTCAAAATCTCTCTCAGGAAGTTTGGCAGCCAAATATATCAATGTCGCTTTCTTTAGATTAGCTGCATCTATAAATCTCTTCATGTTCTCGAATGCCTCAGGAGCGATACCAGTCTCTAGGTTATTTTCAATATTTTAAATCATTGGATGATTATAAGCATCAGCGGCTGAGTATCTCTATGACACATCTTTTACTAGCAATCTAGCAATTAGATCCTTGGCTAATGGTGAGACAGACTTAAAAGTATCATGATTAAATGTGAACTCTCCCATCAGCACGTTTTCAATAATCTCCTTGTGAGACTCTCCTGGGAATGGTACTTTACCTGATAGTAAAATATATAGCACTACACCCATTGACCACAAATCGCATTTTTCATCATAGTTCTGGTTGAATACTTCAGGCGCAATATAATATGGCTAAAATAGAATAGATCAGAAAAAGAAAAAAACTTGTTAAATATTGGGAAATAACAAAGACTTACAGAACCACAGGGAGTTTGCATGCAAGATATTTCTGAATAATCTTTAGAAAGACCAAAATCGATAAGCTTCATATTAGTAATATCTTCTTTGTACTTTAATAGAAAGTTTTCTGGCTTGATGTCCCTATGAATAGTTATTTATAGCAGGAAGCAAAGATATTTAATTAATGATTCAATGTAGTTATGCACTTTGAGTATCACTTACCTATGAGATATTTTGTTCTCATGCAAATACTTCAAAGCAGAAAAACTCTACTTCATTATCAGAGCTGCCTCTCTTTCATTAAGGAACCTTCTCTGAACAATAAAGTAAAATAGCTCTCCACCTTCGCAATATCTAAAAAAATTTAATGATTTGTTTTTGAAATTCTATATTTAGATTTGGAATTCTATTGGTTTAATCGTAAAATATTAATCTGTTGTGAATGATATGTGATAGTTTTAGCTTTTAAAATTAGGACTTACTCAGTTACTAAGAAGCAAATTGATTACCATTCCCATATCTCATACAACTTGATAATATTTGGGTGATCCTAAGAAACTATTAAACCTTATAGCTATTACAAGAGTTTTAAGTATCTTGATTTCATTTTAGAAAGTCTCATAGTCTCTAACTTTGCTCTTTTATATTGCTTTCACTGCATAATTATGCCCTAAATTTGATGTAACTTCTGATGTGATTCTGATTTTTTAGTTCTTACCTGTTTTTCTGTCCTGAGCTAAATATACTACACCAAACCCACCAGCACCAAGTCTTTCAACGAAATGATATTGCTCCTTTATATTGCCTTGATGAGAGTCAATGAACCATTATTTAGATAAGAAAAGCTTAGCCTCCATTATTTTCGATTTAGCTTATATCATTTTGATAAAAAAAAGAATACATAAATTTAAACTCTAATGAAAATATACTTCCCGTTAAATGACTAGATTCATGAAGTCCGGGGTTTTGGGGTTTTGGGGTTTTGGGGTTTTTCGATGAGAAGTACTTCTTGTATAC